CGGGTGCTGCGCTGATGCGTGTGAGGAGAGCGTTGTCTGGATTCGGGAGCCCGCCTTGCACTGCGCATTCTCTCCCATCCCAGGAGGGAGACAGAACGCTGTCTGCGAGGCTGGCCCGGGATGCCCACCCGGGCAGTCCTGGGCCGCGGTGGGCATCCCAGGTGGAGGTGTCCACACCCCCAGGTTGGCCTGTTACAGCGGTGGCCCCACTTCCTCCCTGCTTCACTTTTTGGTGTGCTCTGGGGCCTCAGGCCCGACATGGCTCTTCCTAGGAGCTCCTTGTGGGTGAGTGTTGGCAGATGGTAAGTGCTCTGGACCATTCCCAGCGCCAGGGACCCGGTGCAGTCAATCCACTTCTGATCACTGGGTGTCTGGGGATCTATTCTGTCTGGGGAGTGGACAAGCAGAGGCGAGGGGCAGCAGGGGCAGAAGCCGGGGCCTGCTTGCTTGGTGGGGGAGGGGTCGCTGTATTTCTGGGTGACACCCAAGTGTAGGCTGAGCACACAGCAGTGGCTGTGGCATTGGAGATGGGGCAGGACATGTGGGGTGCACTTGAGGGGGATGCTGCCAGTGCGAGGAATTTGCCTTTGTTCGGATTCTCCGACCACGGCTGCAGCTGAGTATGAGGCGAATGGAAAGAGTGGGACGCAGGATCCTGGGTCCCCAGAAATGTACAACCCTGAGCTGTGATGTTCTTCCACTTAGGGGGTTATTTCAGGCTTCCCTGTGGGACCAGGCGTCTCTTGTGAGCTTTGGGATCTGAAACCCATCGACCTAGTAACATCGATGTTCTAGATGCCTTGGACTCGGAGAACAAAGCCAAACCCATCACTTCTGTGCCAAGCCAGGTTCTCCTCCTAGTTGCCCCTCTCAGTCTTCGCCCTGGGCCAAGCGGACAGCCCGAGGCTGACCCCTGACCGGGTCTGTTTTCTGTCTCCGTCGCTCTCCGTGTCTCACCAGTCACCAAAGCCTATGGATTTCGCCTGCCTTTTGCTTCCCTTCCTTCAGCCCACCTGCCTTCCCTTCCTACCTTGCTTCCTTTCTCCCTTCCTCCTCCTTCCTTCCCTCCCTGTTACACTAGCACAGGTCTAGCCTGCAGACCATGCATATTAATGACAGCACAGCCTTGCACTTCGGTGACAGGCGGGCATATGAGTCGCCTTCTGGAAGGTAATGTGGCAGAATACATCAGTCCCCATAAATGCCTTCCTTTACCTGCTTATTCGACTTTTAGGAATCTGTCCTGAGAAAATAATCCTGGCCTCAGAAAATGCTCTCTGCACACTACCAGGACAGCATTGTTGTGGTAGCAAAGGCAAAAACACAAACCGGCCAATGACAGTAAGCCCGGCCAGCGCCTAAAGGGCAGCGCTGGGTGATGCTGATCTCGCCGTGGCACCGCCCTCCCTCAGGCAGAGCCCAGTGCAGCTCTTTCCAGGTGACAGTCCGCCACATCTTTTCTTCTCAAGCCACACGGTTTCCGGCGAGGCAGCCCTTCCTGGGTCTGGGTCCCGCCTATACCCGCTGATCCCAAGTCCCAAGCCGACTAGGCCCTGTGTGTGAATGACCTGAAGCAATGTCCGCCTCAAGAGTCCAAAACTGACCTTCGTGCTGCCTGTAGCCCCCAACCCGGGCATCCTTAGTGGGTACCTTACCTACCTTAGTGGCTGGCACCATCATCACCCTTCCAGCAACTAGCCCACCACCAAGTGTAGTTCTAGTTTTTTTTGGTGCTGGCAATTGAACTCACAACCTTGTGCTTGCCAGGCAGGCACTTTGCCTGGCCCCTATTTCTATTTTTAAATTAATTTTCTTCCTTCCTGTTTTCTTTTTTCTTTTCTCTTCTTCCTCTTCCTTTTTCCTTTGGTTTGTCTTTTGGGACAGGGGCTCACTGCGTAGTTCAGGCTGGCCTTGAACTCACTATGTAGCCCAGGCTGTCCTCCAACATGCAGTGATCCTCCTGCCTCAGCGTCTCCAGTGCTGGGACTACAGGTGTGCTAACCACATCCAGCCCATTTTCTAGATAATTTTCATGAACATCTGTTAGCCCCTGTCCTCACTACAACTAGCTGAATCCAAACCACTGTCATTTCTATCCCTGTCTACAGCAGTAGCGCCTCATCTGCCCTCTGTCAAAAGGGTCAGCTGCTCCCAGAGCCCGTGCGTGCTTGGACTGTGCTCTGGCCAGCACCCAGACACTTCAGAATTATGAGTGGTTTCCATTTATGCCTTTCCCTCCTCCTCTCCCTCCTCCTCCTCCTCTCTCTCCTCCTCCTTTCCCTCTTCCTCCTCCTCTGCCTCCTCCTCCTCCTCTCCTTCCTCCTCCTCTCCCTCCTCCTCCTCCTCTCTCTCCTCCTCCTTTCCCTCTTCCTCCTCTCTGCCTCCTCCTCCTCCTCTCCTTCCTCCTCCTCTGCCTCCTCCTCCTCCTCTCCCTCTTCCTCCTCCTCTCCCTTCTCCTCCTCCTCTCCCTCCTCCTCCTCTCCCTCCTCCTCCTCTCCCTCCTCCTCCTCTCCCTCCTCCTCCTCTCCTTCCTCCTCCTCTGCCTCCTCCTCCTCCTCTCCCTCTTCCTCCTCCTCTCCCTTCTCCTCCTCCTCTCCCTCCTCCTCCTCTCCCTCCTCCTCCTCTCCCTCCTCCTCCTCTCCCTCCTCCTCCTCTCCTTCCTCCTCCTCTGCCTCCTCCTCCTCCTCTCCCTCTTCCTCCTCCTCTCCCTCTTCCTCCTCCTCTCCCTCTTCCTCCTCCTCTCCCTTCTCCTCCTCCTCTCCCTCCTCCTCCTCTCCCTCCTCCTCCTCTCCCTCCTCCTCCTCTCCCTCCTCCTCCTCTCCCTCCTCCTCCTCTCCCTCCTCCTCCTCTCCCTCCTCCTCCTCTCCTTCCTCCTCCTCTGCCTCCTCCTCCTCCTCCTCTCCCTCTTCCTCCTCCTCTCCCTCCTCCTCCTCCTCTCCTTCCTCCTCCTCTGCCTCCTCCTCCTCCTCTCCCTCTTCCTCCTCCTCTCCCTCCTCCTCCTCTCCTTCCTCCTCCTCTCCCTCCTCCTCCTCTCCCTCCTCCTCCTCTCCTTCCTCCTCCTCTGCCTCCTCCTCCTCCTCTCCCTCCTCCTCCTCCTCTCCCTCTTCCTCCTCCTCTCCCTCCTCCTCCTCCTCTCCTTCCTCCTCCTCTGCCTCCTCCTCCTCCTCTCCCTCTTCCTCCTCCTCTCCCTCCTCCTCCTCTCCCTCCTCCTCCTCTCCCTCCTCCTCCTCCTCTCCCTCCTCCTCCTCCTCTGCCTCCTCCTCCTCCTCTCTCTCTTCCTCCTCCTCTTCCTCCTCCTCCTCTCCCTCCTCCTCCTCTCCCTCCTCCTCCTCTCCCTCTTCCTCTTCCTCCTCCTCCTCTCCCTCCTCCTCCTCTCCCTCCTCCTCCTCTTCCTCCTCCTCTCTTCCTCCTCCTCTTCCTCCTCCTCCTCTCCCTCCTCCTCCTCCTCTCCCTCCTCCTCCTCTCCCTCCTCCTCTCCCTCCTCCTCTCCCTCCTCCTCCTACTCTCCCTCCTCCTCCTCTCCCTCCTCCTCTTCCTCCTCCTCCTCCTCCTCTCCCTCCTCCTTTCCCTCCTCCTCCTCTCCCTCTTCCTCCTCCTCTTCCTCCTCCTCCTCTCCCTCCTCCTCCTCTCCCTCCTCCTCCTACTCTCCCTCCTCCTCCTCTCCCTCCTCTTCCTCCTCCTCTCCCTCTTCCTCCTCCTCTCCCTCCTCCTCCTTTCCCTCCTCCTCCTCCTCTCCCTCCTCCTCTCCTTCCTCCTCCTCCTCTGCCTCCTCCTCCTCCTCGTGAGCTCCAATCCCTCTTTCTGTCCTTCACCCGTATTTCCTCTGACACTCCGGGACCTCCTAACCACTTTCCCCTGTTTCAGCTCTTTTCTGGAGTGGGTCACTGCAGAGCTTTTTCAGGGCACTTTCCACGACCTCATGCCTGAGGAACTTGCCTTTTGCACGTTCATTTTCTTCTCTCTCTTTTTCGTCCCACGAAGGCCGTAGTCCTCTGTGGAATGGCTCATCCACGCTTCTGGGCTCCCTGCCCCTCACAGGAAAGTCGTGTCAATATGCCGAGCCGCTCCTCCCTCTGTGCTCATCGCCTCTCTGACCAGGACGCCTGCTCAGAGAGCCTGTGTGTGGCCCTGTGGCCCTTTTGGGACCGTCTGTGGACTATTCTTGCCCTCAGTCTCCTCTCAGTCTTGACCTCTGTCCTCTGCCTCGTTTTAGCCGTGGCCAGTGTTCCCTCTTCTTCCCCCTCCACCCACACTTCCGTCCTCACTTGCCCAAGTCTGTCCTCTGCTCCCCTCCCAGCCTCATGGAACTCAACCCAAACATCTCACCTCCCTCTGCCAGACAGCTTAACCCTCCATAAACTAAACCACAGCTCCGCTAGGCTCTCCCAATACACTTGACTTTAATATCCTACAGGATCTACGCATTTGTCAATGCAGTGGACAATGGTCCGAGGCCCACGCTTTTTTTGCTCTTTACAGCTGACCCCAACTCTGCCTCTCCTGCTTCTCCACCCCACCATCGCCCCGTTCTCCACCACCACCTCTCACCCCCGCACTCACTGCCTCTGGTGGCCCTTCCCACACGTGGCCTTCGGTTTCCCTTCCCAGTCACCTCTGGCATGATGCTCACCCCAAGCTGTCCTTCCCCTCTGTGAGGTGGCAGGTACTGAAGGGTTAATCCACGTGGGTCCCTTCCCCCCCTCTGATCTCCCACATATCTTCCAGCCTATCACATGCTTTGCTGTTAACCCACACGGTTATTCTCACTCCTACTCTGTCCCCTCAACAAAAAATTAAACTCCTGTTTTATTTCCCAGGCAATGCCAGACATTTAACCTAAATTCAAACAGATCTTGGGCCTCAATCCTCCCAGCGAGGAGGGATTCATATCTTAGATATGAATTTCCATGTCTTCAACAATAGACAAAAACAGGACACCTTAAAAAGGTTACATTCCAGGACGACCTTAAAAAAAAAGGCTGCATTCCAAGCTGAACTTCAAGGCCAATTTCTGGCCTTGGAGGCTGCAGCAGCAGCAGCAGCACCTGGAGCTCAGGATAAAACAGGGGGGCCAAAAACCTGAGCCCCCACCTCACCACCGAGCTTCCAGTGTGTCAGGAGAACCACACTGCACACAGCCTGCCCTGACCTGCGGCCATGACTGGGAACTCATCCCATCTGCAACCATGAGGGCCACTGGAAGTGTGACTGCCCTGTCCACCAGACAGCGGGTCAGTGGTCACCTTCCTGCCTTCACAGGATGTTGACGCTGCTGCCTGGGACTCAGGACCTGTCACTGGCTCGGCGTCACTGCTGAGAGGATGAGCTGGGGCTCTGGCCCATGGCCTCACCAGGTCTCCCTCAGAGCCCCGAGTCTCTCTGGACATCCCAGGTAAAACCCTCCCTTTCCTTGTTTCTATGGAAACCACCCATAGCATCTTTCTGAGTTTCTGGGCCAATGTTCCCAGTCTGTAGTCTCTGTGGTGGGAGTTGATGGCCAATACACGACCTCCCCGACAGGACCTACTCCCTGCAGATTCCAAACCCTTTCTTCACACACAGCTATCTTATTATTCCAACCTGTCCTGTCCTCTTTTTGATTAAAAAAAAACCTCCAAACACCCAAACACCCATCTCTCTTCCACTCTCTCTCTCTCCCCAGGCTCTTATACTCCAATCCCAGCCATCATGGCAGCTGGCTCAGCCCCTCCCCTTCCCTGCTTCCTGGTGACCCTGCAGTCTGCCACACGTCCAGTCCTACTCAGGCCACTCACTTTACTCTGCTACTAATTCGCCTCAAACACCCTCAGTCTTCCCTACTGTTCCCCAATACCCGGTAGCCCTAAACTTCAACGGGGGCTCAAACCTATAATCCACTGCTTGTTACCCAATGGGTTTCCAAAGGTCACACACTCACCTTATGACACCCCAAATGACACCTGGCTCTCCCTACCCTCAAGTCCAATGGCTCCTGTCGCCTAGTCCAAGGTCCCAGAGCTATTCACAGTGGGCTAACGCCAACTCACCCACTGGTGCTAAACCCTTGCACTGTACTGTCTCATATGCCTACATTTTCACTGTTCCCTTACACCCTGACTGCAAAGGTTTCTTTGCCGTCCATCTCTATCACAGACCACCCTTGGTCTCTCAGCCCCCGTATTCCTGTAACCTGCCCTTATTTCTCCTCTCAGACCCCACCTACAGCACCTCAGGCTGCTAACACTGGCCCCACCCCCAGTTTCTCTTCTGAGCCCCTCTCTCGGCCCTCACCCTCCTGGCCCCCTCACAGTTCTCTGCGTCACATTCCTGCTCACACCGAGTCTCCTCTCCCAGTCCACAGCAGCCACAAAAGGTACCGCCCAAAGTTTTAACCAGATGCTCCTCTTGGATTTCTCTTATCAGATGGTGCCCACGGCTGATCCCGATGGTGACCCTACCTTCCCAGCCTTCCCACTTCACCCCAAGCCATCCTGAAGCAGCCAAAAAGACCTCATCACCAGACTCCTAAAAACAAAAGGCTGGAGTAAAGGGTCAGCCTGTCCCCTGAACCTGTTCATGCTTGGGTTGCAAGAAGACAAACTTTCCAGAACCAAAAGTCAACCCTGCCCAGGAGGGAACCTGAAGACACCCGTGTCACACCTGGCTCACCCGCAGAGACACTCCCCCAGCATAACCCTTAAAAACCCTTTCCCCAAGCAAACGGGCTGCCTTGGTCTGCATGGCAGTCCACCCCCTGCCCAATAAAGCTTCTCTCTTGCGGCAGAGTGTCTGGTCTGGTTTCATGTGGGTTCCAGTTCATCGTCAGAGCAAAGCATACGTTTGATAACGTCCTGGCTATATGGACACTGGGATTTACCTCTACGTCCACTAACACAACACCTCCAAGTTCCTTGTGGGGTTTTAGGAGAATGGGCGCTGTCTCCACAGTGGAGTCACTCCTAGCCCTGTGTGATACCTAGCTGGCTCCTGGGAGGTGTCCCTCTGGCAGTATTCACAAGCAGTCTCTCATTCATTCAGACATATTTGTTGAACACCTACTATGTGCTAGAGCATGCAAACTTGCAAACTTTCACCTCAGGGGATAGAAATTCATTCCTCACAGGGGAATGGGATATTGCAATGCTTTGTGGGCCCTAATTAGATCTAAACCAGTGGTAGTGAGCTAATGACACATGTGCCACAGTGGACTGTTATCAAGGTTTGCCATCACTGCTAAGCGTCTGTGTCTTCCCAAGCCATGTCTTGAAATCCTAATTCTCAGTGTCACGGCTTTTCTTTCTTTCTTTCTTTCTTTTTTTCGTTCTTCTGTCTTTTTCATTTTTATCGGTACTGGGGATTGAACTCACGAACGTCTGCTTGCAAGGCAGGCGCTTAAGCCGCTGAGCTAAATCCCCAGCCCCCTCTTTATTTATTTTTAAGACAAGGTCTGGCTCTATAGTTCAGGCTGCTCCTGAACTCCTTCTATAACCCAGGCTGGCCTTGAACTCACAGTGATTGTCCTGCCTCAGCTTCCCGAGTGCCGGGATTACAGGTGTACACCACCATATTTGGCTCTGTAATGACTTTTAGAGAGTGGCTGTAGAAACATTTAGTATGGGGTTAGGTCTGGAGGGTGGGGCCCTTGTGATGAGATTAGTGCCTTACTAAAAGATGAGGAGGCCCAGGCACTTTCTCTTGGCCATGTGAGGTCACAGTGTTTAGAAGACTGGTGTGTACCCCAGGAATCGGCCCCACCTGACATGCTGACCTCGGGCTTCCGGGCCTCCACAGCTGAGAGGCTCTGTCATTGTTTAAGTCTATGATTTGCTACCGCAGCCTGGGCTAATACTCTTCAAAGTGCAGCCCCTCCCCATGTGCTTATTTTTTAAAACAAAATCTTATTCTTTAGTACTTAATTTCTCTTGTCAGGCAGAGTTTCAATTAAATTATAGTAAAATTTTCTCCTTAATGGAGCAATAGTGAAAAAGACATTTGAGAAACTCCATGCCAGGCTTTGGCGACACACTCGTTCCTGAGTGCGAGGTGCCCCTCAGCCTGCTGAGTTTCCTCTCCTCCAGGAAAATGGGCACTGAGTGATTCTACAGCGATTACTCCTGAAGCCAGAGCCAACAGGCTGAAAGCTGCAGGTTCCACTTTGCGATGTCCTAGGAAAGACAGAGCTGTAACCTGGCAATCAGTGTGGTGGTGGTGGTGGGGCTGGGGTAGGGAAGAGGATTGATTCTGAGGATCTCCAGAGAATTCTCTGGGTGGCACAGGCATCCCACACCCTGTGGGGAGTGGGGTTCCACAGCTGTGTGCCTTTGTCAAAACTCAGTAAGCTGTGCCCTGAAAAGGGAGAGTTTTATGTGTGCCAATGATATCTTGACGACATGCCTTGCTGGGGATCGGGGCTCACAGGAGGCAGCTGTGGGTGGCAGAGCTGGCCCCATCCAGCAGCCATGGTACCCGCTGAAGCCAGCTGACTCCGGATGATTCTTCAAACTCAGGTGATGGCAGTAGACGTGGACGGAAGTGGACAGGTTCTAGGAATCTGTAGGGGCTAAATAAACTGGACGGTGTGGCCAGTTTGACACCTGGGGCTCTTTGGATTCCCATCCAGCTGATCCTGGTATGCAGGGGCTCTTCTGAAATAGAAAACCCTGGGGGAAGGACTGGGTTATTGGCAGATACCTAGGCTGTGTGTTTTAAAGCAGTTTGGGAGTGTCTAGGAAGGGAAGGCATCATGTTCAGGAGGCGCCTTCTGATATACCGGGCACCTGCCTGTCTGGAAAGCACACTCATCTCCAGCCAGAGAGAGGCTCCTCACCCAGGCAGGGTCTGGTGTGGTCAGGGATGAGTTGCGTGGTCCAGAGAGCAAAATCAGCAGCTGGAGAGTTAAGATCGGAGGAGAGATGGGACCAGGGCTTGCCCTGATGTAGTGTCACCCGAGAGACACATGTCTTGTGCTGACCTGCTCTGCCCCCTGCCCATTCTGAGGTGCAGCTGACCACCTCTGACTTGGACTGTGTGACAGAATCTAATGTTGTTCCAATGAATCCCTGGGATCTTTTGTACTAAGATTGAGCCCAAAGCCTTTGCATCCCCAGCCTGCCCTTCTTTCCTTCTCTCTCTCTCTTTCTTTCTTTCATCTTCTTTCTTTTTTCTTTATTTCATCTTCCTTCCTTCCTTTCTTCCTCTTTTGTTTTTGCGACAAGGTCTCATTTAGTTGGTGAATTCTCCAGGCTGTGATTCTCCTGCCTCAGCCTCCCAGTGTGCTTAGATTATAGGCAATGTACCACTATGCCTGGTTAATTCCTTTTGAGATTAAATTAAAAATTAAATCGAATGTATTTCTAATCTTTGCAAGTCCAAAAGCTTCAACAGAGCCACCACAAATACATGTTATTTTATTTTTGTACTTTTTTTTTTTTCTAAAAAAAGGAAAAAGCTCTTTTGAGGGCAGATGTTGTGTATACCTGTAATCCCAGCTACTCCAGAAGTAGAAGGTTTGTAGGTTCAAAACTAGCCTGGACGACTCAATGAAAAAAAAAAAAAGAAGGGCCGGGCTGGGGATATAGCTCAGTGGCACAAGTTCCTGCGTGCCAAGTGCGGGGTTGTAACTTCAATCCCCGATACAAACAAAACCAAACAAAACCAAATCTCCCCTCCCCCAAAACCAAAAGACTCCAAATGCAAAAGGACTGTGGCTCCTGTACTACAACAGAGCAAAACAAAAAAACCCTAAAGAGCCCTCTGTTGTTGTATTTGCAAATTTGTCTACCAGTAGCTCAGTTAAGTTTTATCATATTTAAACCAACTTCATAAAGCAAGTCTCCAAACCATCATTCTTTTTCTTTTGTCTGTTTGAGACAGGGTCTCACTGTGCAGTTCAGGCTGGCCTTCAGCTCACTTTGTAGCCCAGGCTGGTCTCGAACTTGCAGTGATCCTCCTGCCTCAGCCTCCCGAGTGCTGGGATTACAGGTGTGCGCCACCCTACCCAGCTCCAACTATCATTCTTTTGCTTCACAAATTTCTTGGCTCTGTGCAGTTACTCTACCCAAAGAACTACAGAATTGATTTCCCAAGGTAAAAGAAAAATCCCTATGATTGAAATCGCACACCAAATTTAGGGGTGGCCTGAGGGAGGATTGACACTTTTACAATCTTGTTCAAGAACAGGCCTCGTTTCTCCATTGATTGAAGTTTTCTTAAAACATCCTTCATCCAATTTCAGCGCACATTCTGTGCACATTTTGCTAACCACGTTCTTTTTAGTCCCCTGTTGCTGTCTCACATGGTATTGCTGGTGTATGAGACGGGAATTGATCTTGATGTATTTATCACCCGTGTTGATCTCTTTAGTCAATGCTCTGATTAGTTCTTGGAGTTTTTCAGTGCATTCTCTTGGTTTCTCAGCACATGACCCGCAAAGGAAGACCATTTTGCCTCTGCTTTGCCAGTATGTACACTCTTCCTTCTTCTTTGTTCCTTTAACCCCCGAAATGGAGGCAAGTAACAGTTGTAATAAAAGCCACTTTGTACAAAAAATCCTCCACTGTGATGTTTCCAAAACTGGCATTTTTGAACAATGGTCCACAAAATGCCAATTACTGTTTTATTGAGAAAAAGTGTTCTGGGTCTGGGTAACTTTAGAATATGTTGGGTTAAGCAGTAACAGACTTCCTCCTGCCTCAGCCTCCCAGGTGCTGGGATTACATCATGCCTTGGCAACATACCTTTAACTTGACCACTGATCTTGTTTGGTTTCGTGTACATGTCTCTTGGAATGGTGGTCCACAGGGTGGCATCTGCACCGCTGCTATAGCAGTTTACTGTTAGGTGTGGTACTCACTGCGATTTTAGGAAATGTAGTCATCAGTTAAGTGAACAAATACGTTTATCATGGTATGATGATTTTCTTTAATTTCTAAATTTACTGAGAGTTTTTAAAAATTAGACATAGAAGTTCATTTGATTGAATGGTTTTTTTCTTTTCAACTTAGCTCTCAAAGAAAAGATTGAATGGTTTTTAGATGTCTATGGAGTTGGTCATATTATTTTTCACTTTTAAATTAGTGGAATTCTACCACTGTACATTAAATGTGGTTCAAAAGACTTCACAGGCTCCCAGGACCGTGCGACTGTGATGTTAACGCACTGAGCAGCCCGAGGGGTCTGGTGCCCGGGTTCTAGTGTAAAGGCCAGGCGGTCCCCACTTCCCCTGCAGTTTGTTGCCTCCTGGTGGTAGCAGTGCGACTGCCATATCCCCAGGGCCGGTCCTGAGCACGGGCCTCTAAGAGCAGCGATGCCAGGGACTCAGCGGGTTATCCGACACTAACTTTGCCAGGCAGTCTAAAGGGATGGAGTTGGCGGGAACCTGGGAACGCAGGACTGTACCCCTGCCGGCTGCCCCTTGAGTTTGAGTTTTCTCCCTGCCTTGATTTCCTTTCCACGTTCTCTCCACTCCTTCCATTCAGAGATTAGAACATCTCCAGAGGGCTGTTTGAGAGCCTGGGCTGGGCGAAGGGCTCAAGCCAACTGCTAATGCAAGTAGGTTGTTTTTTGTCTTTTTTTATCGGTACCGGGGATCGAACTCGCGACTGCCTGCTTGCAAGGTAGGCGCTTATACCGCTGAGCTAAATCCCCAGCCCCAATGCAAGTAGTTTTAACATTATTTGTGAAACAAATACTACCCGATCATGGTTGAGTACCATATACTATGGATTATTTTAATTTAATCCTACCATTGCTCTAAATCAAATATTATTTTATATGCTGCCAAA